CAGAAGACTATACAGAAACCTAGGCTTCACGATTCTCCACCATCTATTACATTCTTGTGATGTTGTGGAAACAGGGTGCTATGTTACGCTTTTCTGCTCAATTTCTGGGGAAGAATGGAACTCCGATCACTACTTGCGTCGAGGAATACGTTTTTCCACGAAGCAGTGTACACCTATTTGCGAGCAGGTAGAGTTGCAAAAGCTATGGAGAACATTCACAGAACCTTGTGCAAATGCATTGGATAAACTCAGTTTTGAGGAATGTTATTAATTTAAATATCGCTATCAGAAACGGAAATCACTTATGACCCAATTTAACAAGGTATCGTATTCTCCTAACAGACACAAAAGCGTTTTGTACCCTGCAATCGAGCTCAAATGAAGATGAGCTTTGAGGAGTGGACAAATGTGTTCAAGTGTTGTTTGGTGGCTGCTCGTCAAATTTTGGCTGTAAAACCTGGATGGAGGAAAACCGAACGTACAGCTCTTTTTGCACCTTTGTTTTCCATTAGTGCGAGCAAAACTTCTCATGACAAAAACCCTCTGAAGTAACCAACTTCTCCAGAGCGAGCTAAAATGCACCCCCCTCCTCCCATATGCATCAACATGTTATGAAAGGGAATCCGTTGATCAGAGGCAAGAAATATTAGGTCGTGAAGAAAGTTCTTGCGCTTTTCGACCTTGATTTTCAAATGCCTGTATCTCGGCTCATTCGAAACCTTTTTGATTGGAGTAAAGACTGTTAGAATCCACAAACCTCTGCCAATAATAGCTGCGTTGAATCAGCCCGGTAGTGCAGAATACTGGAGCTCTAGAGACGATGAACCCGGCGGAGGTCGTTTCCGCATCATGTTGGGTTTTGAAGCATAACTCTTTGGAGAAGCTATCCAGGTAGTCGAGAAAGTGACAATTATAGGCAAAAGGTCTACCGAGTAGGATGTTCGCAGGACTAATTCGTAGCCAATCTTGTTCAACTTCTGCAGGGTTGGTTGTGGAATGTGCGTCCGAGCTACCTGTCAGGACGAGTCTGTTCCTTATAATGAAGAATGCTAGGTGAATGTGCTTTAATTTTATTCCGAAGAGCTAGACCAGCCGCTGACCTTATGAAAGTCACCTCGACCTCCTCCAGTACAGTTCCATTTCTGCAAAGTTGTGAAGCCTGATTGCGGTCGATCCATTCAGCAAAGGTGTATGAAGCAAAGAATTCGCTCTTTATCGCATGTCGCAAACGAGTAGGTCAGGTCGTTTTTCATTGCATGAAACAAGCAGAAAGCGGGGCGATCCTTCAAAGTGGAGAGTTGTCGCGGCACGACCTAATTAAATTTCTTGGACTTTACACCTCTTTATGCATAATAGGGACTTTCGGCTAAGCGTTGGCATTGTCCAATATCCGACCACCACCACCACTTTCTTTAGTTACAAAAGTATTTTCAACGATTGTTTCACGGTATTTGTTGCGAATCTTAGCCAAGCGTATCTATAAAATCTTAGACCTGCTTCCGCTCCTTACAGGCCTTTTTGAGCTAGAAAAAGAAAATCATGCAAATCTGTTCTTCGATTATGCCGTATTCAAGGCTTCAAAAAGTGTTAAACCAAATGAGAAATAACAAAGGTAACCCCAGTGTCAGATAGTACAAGAAAAGCTCTTCAAAATGGTTTATACACAGTGGCAGCTTGCTCGAAGTCGAAACAAAATAAAGGGTTCATAAATGGGAAAACCAAAAAGCGCAAGAACTTTCTTCACGACCTAATACTTCCGATGTTGGCAAAGGCTCGCTTCAAGCACAGATTGATGCAAATTTGAGTCTGAGTTCTGCTCTGAAATGATACCTTGTTGACTCTTGCGGCTATGGTATCAATTCATTGCTCACGCCTTAACAGCTATTATCTTAGTGATATAATACATCCACCAGCTTAGGAAGACCAGCATATTCCAGTAGTCATCATTGTTCGCTATTTACGTAGTAGCCATGAGTTCGATTGTTTTTTTTCAGGCTCAAACATCAACTACTAACGGAGTTGTCATGGAAGGAGGTGATCTTGCTACTCAGTTACCTACGGCACAGGTTCGTGTGACTTAACTGGTCGGCAAATGATTGAGATGATTTGATTTTAGACCTACATGGAGGTTGCTCCAATAGAGCCCGTGGATTGTAGTGCAGCAAATGTGCATCTGAAGGTGTGTGAGTTTTGAATAATAGCCTTTGTTATAGAGTTGCAAATGAAAAGGAACACAGAAAGCATTCCGTTATATTCAACAAATTTACGCTTTACTAAGTGATTTCTACCATCTTGATTCCAATAATACTCCGAATCAGCCGTTGCAGCTCGGATGCTCACATCCAAACTCCACGAACGCCAACGCTTAGCACCTGTTGCGGCTGTTTTGGCAGCAGTTTTTTTTTCTTGTGATTACTGTTCGCAATTCAAAAATAAGAATGATTCACATTAGGGAGATGAAAGCCGCACGTCTTAATTACCACACACCCATTTGTGAAACGATGTTATGGTGCATATTTGACTTTTCATGATTCAAATTTGGGGAATCTTCAGTCACTCCGAAACCCGTGATCAAATTTTTCAGAAGCACGAAATGTTGTAGATTTTTGAAAATATTCCTGATTTCCTCTCGATGAGGAACAAAACTGTAAAAAAAAGCAATTTTATAGCACGCTTACCGTGAGTTGAGAGATTTTCTACTCACCTCTTATCCTACTCCGTATCTGGTCATTAATTTACTTTTTATCAGATTCATGTGTTTGATTACAGAACCAGTGCACTCCCGAGGACCGGCAGCGAATCAATGTAGGATGGTTTACGGGCCCTGCAGACGCCAAGGAGGAGTACGACCAGTTCGTTTTAAAACCCTATTGTTTTCATTTGTTAACCTTTGTTCTGTTTAAGGACATGGAAAATGAGCGGTGCTAAATGAGACCATTTTTTCAGCAAAATCGCAGTGTACAGTCAACGTTTAGGATGCCAGATGTATAATTTCGTGAGCTATCCTATTGGGGGAGTAAAGCGTGGTTTCTGGAAGCCGAACAGGTCCGAATGTCTTCTTAGTTTACTAGAATTTGTGTCGCTGTTCATGGAAGCTCGTCCATCGTTCACGAGTTGGGTACGATAACTTCTCATTCAGCACATCAGCTATTCCTCCTCCAATCGATTTGCCTGATGTGCAGCTACAAAACCATTTATGGGAAACTTACGTCAATGCTCAAATTTCCTCATGGATCGACTGTGATTCCCAAAACGACGAGCTGGCTGCATTGTCCGAGATTGAATTGCAAAAGGTTGGAATCATTTTTACAATTTTTCCTAAGGTTGTAAGAGGGTTTCTTTTTTTTATTGTCTTTTGTGAATTAGGAATATCAAGCCACCCATACTCGATTTTTATTTCAGGAACTCAATTACTGCGCCTATATGGGCCTCCGCAGTGCTGTTTTTCGGCTGAAGCATGCCGATTCCCCTCGTTTAGCTCGCATTCTCAATCAGTGGCTGTGGACCAGAAACGTGAATTTGGGGTAAGATTTAGAATTTCTTGTTCCAATACGTGAAAAACTTTGTGAACACCATGTGGTTTCGATTTCTTTTGCCTTGCGTGCTCATTTGATGGGACATTCATCTTGCTTCAACGTTTCGAGTGAATTCGTCTTCAGAGGCCCTTAGTAATTGTAATTGGGCGTGGTAGGACTGAAAAGGACTCTAACTTTCAGCAGCGGGAAACGTTCGCTGTGGGAGCCCAAAGTTCACTAGTCATCAAATACGGACCTGGGATTTCCCGCAGCGAAAGAAGATTAGCACTGCAGAAAGAGAAAAAAGTCGCTTTCTGTCCTAGCAAATCAACCCTTAGTGATTGGTATGAATGTTACACAAAAACTCTCGCTACACACAAGGAAAGTAATACACAACAAACACTTCGGGGTTACAACATGAGGGAAGCTGGGGTATCCTCTGGGCATCAAATTTTTGAGACGAACCTGGATAATTCATATTGCAGCTTGTGGATACTCGTTCCGACTTCTGTTGATTACCTGGAACGGTCGCCGTCCGACAAGAGAGATTGTTGGACAGTTTGGGCCGACTTCAGGAAACTTTGTTCGAATTTTTCTAGTCAAAAGCTCATAGGTGAGTACAATTACACTGAACCATTTACTTCCATCACAACTTGAATGTATTGCAGCCGGTCTACACCTGTCGGCTGATATTGACTACGAATTTGTAGACAAAAAGCTCGTTGCTCGCTGGAAAGCGGAGCCAGTGAGTTTTGTCTGACTCGCTCTTCACCGATTCATTTTAAATGTTTTTATTGTTCTGTTCGATAGATGGTTCTTGTGGAATTTAGCTGGCAACCTTCTGCGTCGATGTTGACGCTTTCGTTAGTTGCAAGGATTCTCAGGACTTGTGCCTTCCGCCGTGAGTTTTTTCAAAGTTTCTCCTTGCCTTGACTTTGTCCTACTCAAGTTGTTTTAGAGCACATGCGAGCCTTTTGGTTGATCTATGGATGTCAGACAATGTTCGGATAATGGTTCGAGGTTCACTAGATCATGACACATCGCCTCCAGTGCAACTTCAGTGTGCTCAGGTACCTCCAGTTTATATCCAGAAAACTCATTACCATTTCGTGTTTTTTTTTCATATAAATGGGTCTCGAGCTCTGCAACTTTTTGATCGTTACTCTGTTTCTTTAAGGCTCTCCGAAGTGTTGTTCGTGATGTGAGTGCTCGCTCATCTGGTCTCGTGACTTCAGGATTTCTTGTTGATTCTAATGTCAATTACGTTGACGTTTTGCAGGTGGGTCACTTCAGAAATCCTGAGCAAATTTTTGTCATGTCAATGCCAGAATTTTCATAGGTGCCCTTACAACCGCTAGCTGACAATTTGGATTCCTGTGTTTATAACACCTTTGAACAAGATCCGGTCAAATATAGACGGTATCGCGAAGCTGTAGAGCAAGCCATATGTGATTACGGAGAATCGGCCGCACGACCAGAGCAACTTGTTCTATACGTACTGGGAGCTGGACGAGGTCCATTGGTGAGCTTCAGCCTTATTAGTTGATGACTCAAATTGCCAAATCTTCTTGGAGTATGATGATCCAAATTCGTACATAAGATTCTGTTGGTTAGCTCTCACTGCGATGGTAGCTTCTTCAGACCTATACTCGATATCGGTGGGTTGGGGTGGGCGTGTCACCGGAAGTGACGTGCACTTGATAGAAACTATGTGGATAAGCTGCTTCCAACATACATCGCTGGCTATCAGCAAAGCATGCTGGCAACAGCTTATCCACGCACTTCTATCAAGTGCACGTCACTTCCGGTGACACACCCACCCCAACTTTCGGATATCGACTGTACAAGTCAAGCATTCACATTACAACAACTCTCATCAGGAGTTAAGGATATTATAAAAACAGTTCCATCTTCATCTGTTTTATCTTCACGTGGCGTGCTTCGGGTCTGAAATACAAGCCCGTATGCTATGCTTCCCCTGAAGCTAAGTGATCCAAAGTTTCCTTTAAATTTACTTGTTTTGAACGATATAGTTTCTTCATTTTCAGTGCATGTTTACTTTTACCTACATACAATGTAGGTCCTTTATCAGGGCAATCCCAGATGGGAAGACAGAGAAAATTTAAAGGACTTTTCGTCCCCAACCCCTTCGGGGAGGATAGCATACGACCCACAGATTGACTGCAGGACGTACTAAGATGTCGGTCAGACTCGGCGACTGGCAACGCGATGGCCACAGCGACGACGCGTCGCTCCCGTTCCCACGCGTCGTCGCAACCAAAAAAGGAGTGATTGGCGCGCGCCATTTGCTTAAGGTTTTATTCTAATTTGAGACGCTTATCTGTGGGGGTAGCGGCGTCGTTAGTACAGTTAGTACGTCCTGTATTCGATGTATTACAGATATTACAGTAAATTGTTGACAGATCAACCAGGTAAGTGTTCCTGTACAGCTTGATTCTATTGAGAGTTGTTGTACCGTGTATGCCTCTGCTTAAATGTAAGAAAAAGTAGTTAAAAGAGACTAACTAATTAGTTTTATGACATGTTCTCGTCATTACTTTTGTAAAGAAGATCCGGTTATGCATGAGGCTCAGGTATAGCTTAATTCTAATAGATCAAATTACACTATTAATGTTATGGAAGTTAAAAAAATGCCATATTAGGTTACATGCTCGATTGAAGCGGAGCGGAATTACAACGCTCGGTTTCGATGTAAGCGGGATCGACTCCGCTTAGAGATCTACGTCGTAGAAAAGAATGCGAATGCTATCGTCACACTAAAGTATATGAATCAGAATGTGTACGTTTCCTGTATTCATTCTACAGATTGGGAACTTGTAAAATATCCTGCGCGCTCACGAGACTTCTCCGATTTTTCCAAGTATTTCATCGCTTTTTTGATTTTTCTGTGTAATACAAACTCTCCGCCAGCTCTTCTGTAATGAAACGCTCCGATGAGGCGGCTTATCGGGATGGTGAAGTCTCGTCATCTCCAAAATATCGTTGAGTCGCGCCGACCAGGTGTTTCGGCACACAGCTTTTCGAGTACGCAGTAGTCTATGGAGTAATTTAAAGGCTTTTCTTTTTCAACTTGGGAAGCATTTCTTGATGGAACAGGTGTGAGATACTTCACGGATACTGTTGTCACCCAAGCCAATTCCTTGTTATTTTGTGACTTCTTTCGCAGCAATCGAGCGATTGAAACAGTTTAGTTTGCGAGGTGGCTTAGAATATTATTTTTGTAATAAGTCGCATCCAGTCGCTGATGTTCTGGAATCCGTGTCCTGCGAAACCACTCAATAATCTAGAATCTATGGCTGCTCTTGACATGTATACTACTCCCAAGCGAGTTAGAGCTCATCACCGAAACGGGTTTAGGTAGATTTGAAAGTGAAGGTTGATTCACTGTAACTCAGTTAGCAATGATTAGTTCAATAGACAGAATTCAAACTCATTAGCAATCGTCAAATTCGAAGTCATTCGTTGGTTTCTTTATGTTGCCACCCTCTGTGTTAGGTTTCAGTCCATGTCGTTCACGCCGTTACTGCCGTACATTGATAGTATGCTTCTTTTAGTTCAGTCATTCCAGTCCTGCGTTTGAATTGTGTGTAAGAAGTTTACATGTTAGCTTTAGAGTCTCAGCCCACACTTGAATGAAATGGAGTGCCACCCACAATAAGCCGAGATTCACCTCCAACCGTGTGGTATTTATTATGAAAACTTACAGCCTTGTTGTGTCGGTAGAGCCCATCTGAGGCGCGTAATAGCATTCGTAGCCAATCGGTATCGATAGGAAATGTTAATTATCAATGGTTTATAAATTGTGTGACATTTCTTTCACAATTTCTCCCGAACAAGGAGGGCGCAAACCAGAGGACCGGTCAATTTCGGCTCAAAAATGAGCTTATTTGCGTTCAAAAAAGCTCAGCTATGCCATTCTCGTATCTTTCGGCGACTTGGCCGGAGTTATAAAATCGAGGTCATCCCGTTTCATAGCACTAAGAATCGTTGTACGTACGATAACGTGCGGCACCAAACCGCTCAAGTTATATAGTCTCAACTTCTTCCAAACTTTCCACTTCCATATTTCAGAAAAGAAGGGATAGTAGCTACTCCAGATAGAAAGCATTAAGCGCGTCATCTATGGTTTTTCAGATGGCGAAATCGCTGTATTATCATAGAGGCGGATATGCGAGATGTGCCATCAATAGCAACAGAAAATGGATATTCCAAGCCAGATATCATTGTTTCTGAATTGCTTGGTTCTTTCGGAGACAATGAGCTGAGTCCGGAGTGCTTGGACGGTATTACACCATTGCTGAAACCATCGACAATTAGCATCCCTCAGAAATACACGAGTTATGTTGGTAAGGACCCTTGTTACTTTCATTATCGTCTAGCGCTTGATAAATGCGTTCCGTTCTCGAATTTCAGCGCCGATTATGTCTCTTTATATGCATCAGCAGATTAGACTCTGTGGAGCAAGTTATTGGAATCGCGGGTTTCCAGGACATGGTCGAATAGGACCGGAACTTCAGTTTGATGGCAGTTATCGACAAAATTATCCGTTAGTAAGAGCTTGTCCATTTATGAAATTTTTTCCTGAAACTGTAATCGCTTAACCATTTTAAGGCAAGGTGAGCATGTCGCGAATATGGATCAGATATATGTGGCGTTTTTGCGACAATATTGTGCTCTTGCTGATCCGAAACCAGTGTTCACATTCGTTCATCCCAACTTCGAGAACCTGTCAAATGAACGATCGACCAGTATATCTTTTGAGATAGACCGCCCAGCTGATGTAATTTTTTTTCATTCTTGCAGTCATGTTCGAAGAAATACCTTTTGGGGAAGAAAGATAACATCAATATCCATTAACTGAAACCATAACCAGTCAGCGGTAAACTCGTCATTCCTGAAATCGACTGGCGAAAACGGGGTTCCATTTTGTTCTGTTTTGCCCCGTTCCCCCTTACAATTAGTTTTTTCTCACCGCCGCTTTCAGCAAAAAAAAAATAGCAATTTTGCTTCTATATCGATATCCAGAGCTTGATGATAGGACGTGTCACCAGAAGTTAACATTGTACCTGGATAGAAGCTAGTGGATATGCTGCTTCCAACATAACTCGGTGGATTCTCAAAAGCGTGCTGGCGGCAGCTTATCCACACAACTTCTATCAAGTGCACGTCACTTCCGGTGACACGCCTACTCTAACTTTCGGGTATCGATTGTATATTTCGGTATCATTTTATCGCGCTGCCTCTTAGGGGAAGAAATTATACGAAGTTATACGAATAAAAAGGATAAAAAGGATAAAGCATTTGCCGTTGATCAATCCCTTTTGGGATGCGGCACGCATTCTACTTCCATTTGTACATTCGTAGTGGCGTTTGAATGCGATGTGGCCTATACAATGACTTGCGGGGGCCAGCCGATGTACAAGTCAGTGTTTTTATCCTCCCAGACAAGTCTGGTACCAATTAACCGACCCCGGAGGGATGGAAGGCTTGGTTGGCCCGGGCGACTCACGACCCAGGATTTGATCCCCGGACCGCTCGCGTGGTAAGCGCGCCACTTGTCACTACACCACTTCCGCCCATGTGGAAATATCACCTGATTAATTCGGCTCACTGGATTTTTTCCATATTTTAGTATGGGCTTAGCGGAAACGTAATCCTCACCAACGAGGGAGGTTGTTCAAGGTGAGAAGCGCTTTTTTCTAAACGGGTTTCCGTAGGCTGTAGTGGCTCTCACATGAACTGCAAAAAAGGTTCGTTTTCACTGAGCGGCCTCTGAAAGGCAAACAACATCGAAAAATAACTGCTCCGATGGGTTCTTTCACTAAATTTCGGTAAAATCTAATTGTAAGGGTCACTGATGGCTCCTTCAATGGATGTGACACCTAGTTGGCGCTGGTGCTCTTTAGAGTAGATCTAGAAGCTCCACTTCAAAGTGAAAAAACTTTGTAATCACGGGGAATTTACACTTGAATCACTTGCTCACCTATTTTTGTCCTTCACAGGCCGCTGAGTGAAAATGGACTCAGTTTTGCAGTCCACCAGTGAGCTCCTACAACAAGCACGAAACCGTTTTGAGAAAGTGCTCCTCATGAAAGACCTCCACTGTAAGTTCAGAGGATTGCAGAACAAAACTTGATCTAATCGTACCCTTCTAAAAATCATGCCCAAAACAGCTGTGGGAGTGAGCTATCAACTTGGTGAGTATTCGGGCCATTTCGAGGGCACCACAAGCCGTTTTATTTCAATAAAAATATAACAAATACTATACTATTTGCTGACGTCATCCAAGTCATCCAAATCTTTTAAGCTAATGGGATTTGCTGGTTACTTCCACATGAACTTGTATAAGGATATAACGTTGTCTATTGTGCCATCAACCTATTCGGACGACATGATCAGCTGGTTTCCTGCACTAATACCTCTTAGAGAACTGTATCGAGTTCTGCCGGCAGAAAAGGTATTATTTATTTCTAGTTAATAGAGTCACGACTAATTCGACCGAAAGAAATGTTGTCGGCAATGCTGACTGAATCATTTGGCGGATACCATGGCACAATATTCGTTTATTTAGGTCACCCTCAACATAGAGCGAAAAGTTGACGACAGCGGCGTGTGGTATGAATGGTTCATACATCATACGGTAATTTTTCTAGTTATCGTCGGATATTCTCTGGTGTACGGAGAGATTTACTCTTTTTATGTTGTACCGCTGTTCCCCTCCCTTCGCTGTGTCATTTGGAGGCAGAACTGATGGCCATTATAATGGAAAACACACCTTATTAGCACAAAAACGATAAGTTCAAAGAAAATGAGATTGTCTATATATGTGACTTCAAGGAATTAATGTTATATATACAGGGGTGGCCAAAAAAAAGAGACACTTTGCCCATGGCGCACATCATCGAACTTTTCGTCGCACAGGGAGCCGATGTTAATGAAAGTTTTACGGCAGAATATTCCTTAGGTGTTCCCCCGTAAACAGAAGCAGGCCCTCCTTCACTGCCCCCGCCGTCTTCAGAATATGACGTCATCTGCCGTCACCGTCGAGCTCAACGAGGCTTACCGTAATCGCTCCGGCCTGAAGCTGCTACATAATTTCTTCAATGGATTAACTGTTGAATAGCTTCCAGAGACATTAGCTGTGACTGTGCAAGACCGCTTTTGACCAGCGTTTCAGAGGACGTCGTAATGTCTATGGTACTCGACGACCTCGTTGAGCTCGTACCGCTGCAC